GGGGCCAGCATTGTGGCACAGTGGATTAACCCTGATCTGGCTCCCTGCTCATGTGCCTGGGAAAACAGCAGAAGATAACCAGAGTTCTTGGGCCCCTGCCACCCATGTGGGAGACCTGAATGAAGTTCCAGGGTTCTGGCTCCTGCTGTGTGTGTCTCCCTCTCTCTGTATCGCTGCCTTCCAATCAACAAATAAATCTTTAAAGAGAGAGACAGAGAGATACAACAGTAGGATGAAAACTGCTCTGTGGGGTCAGTGACACACTGTTGGTATAGAGATGTGGTGCAGCCCTGGCCCTGGGGGCTCCCAAGTTCAAGTTGCAGTCATCTCTCCGTGATGGCAGCCCAACTGGCAGAACTTGAAGATAGGATTTCCAGGAGTTTGTTCTGAGGTCCAGAAAAGATGTCCTGAGCTCTGGGTCATCTGTTTTCTTATACCTGTAAGACGTTGTAAGGGTCATTTGCTGGTTGATGAAGTCAGGAAGCCCTCTGCTAGGCCTAGCCTCGCCATGGCCACCACAGACCACCTGAAAGAGCTCCACTTTTGCTAGCCAGGGCTGCCCGAGATCTCTTAGCTGAAGCCACCTCTGCAGCCCCCAGGGTTTTTTTTTGGGGGGGAGGGAGTACTGGAATGTCTGCAATTTGAGTAAAGACTAAGCAGATGGACAATGCAGGCTCTTGGGAAGACCACTGAGCTGTTTCTTGACCCGTTTGAGTGACTTTTTTTTTTTGACAGGTAGAGTGGACAGTGAGAGAGAGAGAGACAGAGAGAAAGGTCTTCCATTGCCATTGGTTCACCCTCTGATGGCCGCTGTGGCCGGCACACTGCGCTGATCCAATGGCAGGAGCCAGGTACTTCTCCTGGTCTCCCATGGGGTGCAGGGCCCAAGCACTTGGGCCATCCTCCACTGTACTCCCTGGTCACAGCAGAGAGCTGGCCTGGAAGAGGGGCAACCGGGACAGAATCCGGCGCCCCGACTGGGACTAGAACCCGGTGTGCCGGCGCCGCGAGGCGGAGGATTAGCCTAGTGAGCCGCGGCGCCGGCCCTTGAGTGACTTCTAAGTGTCATAAGTTCGAGCCATTTCTCATAACTTTGCCAATTGTTCTCTGGCAACAGCTCTCATCACTGTGAGTCTTAGCAGACCCATTGTGACAGAGCAGGCTGGAGATACCTTAATCCGTGGGAAAGTGGGCACACTGAGCCCCAGAGAAGAAAGAAAGGCGCCAGGGACGCGCAGCACAGCTTCATCATCTGCACACACTGACCCAGGAGATCCGGGGATGTGGGACACAGTGATCAGAGGGTTCCTGAAGCTAAAGCCTGAACCCTGTCCATCCCCGTGGTGACTGGTGCATTCTGCGTCTCTTGAAGATCCCACAATTAAACAGGCAGAGAAATGTATTTCATAAAATATGTATGCTGTTTGCTTCATACAAAAACGTTTTAATCTTCCCTAGCTCATAGCCAAGATGAGCAATGGGAGGAACAATTTTGCAGTGCACATTAAAATCAGTCACCAGCCAGTACTGTCTTCTGGGGTGAATGCCTGGCAGGGTCCCCATTATTATCACCATCATTTCCACGAAGAGCAGTTTGCAAAATCTCATGGAAATGTATATTTTGAAAAATCTGTGAAAGAATTTCAAAACTATTTTGCACCCAAATAAACATGTATTTTATTTCAATTTTTCCACAAATTTTCTGAGGTTCCCTGTGCTTATGGTCAGGGTACAGTTTTGCATGAGTCTAGTGGAAGTTCAGAGTGCTTCTCATTCATTAAATCAGTTCTTTTTTTCATCTAGCACAATGGTTGCCACATGCCTGATAAATATCAGATGTCATGATTATTTGTTAAAAAATAAATGAATGAAGGAGCCTCACATAAAGTATGTTGAGTTTCTGTTCCTAAGTATAACCCAGGAGATTATCAAGTACCACCACCCAATTACAGAAAGGTGCATAGCTTTGGCGTGGACTCTGTCTCATCTGAACTTACAAAGATGAATTGTCGTGCTCTGGTAAAATCTTCCCCTGCCAGCACTGTCCACTCACTGGCCTCCCTTCTGGCCTGGCCCGGCGGCTCCCCTGGGCTGAATGCCGCCATCCCCTGTGGCTCCACCGTCCTGTCCCACCACCCCACTCCGACAGATAATGGCTCCTTGTCTGCACTGGAGCCTGAGGAGCAGATTCTTCGATATTGGATGGAGCTGACATGCGAGAACAATTGGAGTAAATTGATTGTATTTTCCAAGTCATCGCCCAGCTTCTAATTCTATCTGTGCGATGGACTAATTTGAACGAGAATTAGCCTCTAAATTGAGAATCCAAGCCCTTGACCAGGAAGACAGAAAAGGCCCTTGTGGAGTTCGGGGGAAAGGAGGTCTCCAGGCCTACAGTAGCCTTCTGGAAGCAACCATAAGGTGAGGAGGCACTAATGCACCAGGGTGGGCCCTGCCACTCTCCTCTGCCTCACTGCATCTCTTCCACTGTGACATCCTGCTTGGTAATTCCATCTCAAAACCAGCTGGATAGGTCAGTCTGATAGGAAAGGGTGCAGGGAGAGTTTTTAAAAACCCAAGCGTCAGGGGCCTGGCGCTGTGGCGTAGCGGGTAAAGCTGCCGCCTGCAGTGCCAGCATCCAATATGGGAGCCAGTTTGAGTCCCTACTGCTCCTCTTCTGATCCAGCTCTCTTGCTGTGGCCTGGGAAAGCAATAGAAGATGGCCCAAGTCCTTGGGCCCCTGTACCAGATGGGAGACCCAGAAGACGTTCCTGGCTGCTGGCTTTGGATCGGCGCAGCTCCAGCCGTTGCAGCCAATTGGGGCGTGAACCAGCAGATGGAAGATCTCTCTCTCTCTCTCTCTCTCTCTCTCTCTCTCTCTCTCTCTCTCCCTGCCTCTACTTCTCTCTCTGTGTAACTCTTTCAAATAAATAAATAAATCTTTTTAAAAAACATGCCTAGGAGTTATAGGGGGCGCCATAGGTGTTGGCCCCCAAAGCCCTATAGAATGCTCTGCTTGGCACAGCACCTTGAGAAGTGCCTCCCCTAGTTCGGTTTAAACTCAGTGGTAGGAACCCATTGCCTCTAATATCCCATTCCATCTTCCTTCCACTGCCCAAGCTAAAAGGCTCTTCCTGTCTCCCTGGAGACCAGACAGGGTCTTTGTGGGCAGCGACTCTCAACCTTACAGCACCTGGGACTCCCCTGATCTTGACTGGAAACTGACTGAAGTGTCAGTGGTTGGCATTCAGTAGGCCCAAGACTTGGCATTTCTAAGTAGTGCTCAGGTGATACCCGTGTGCCCGGTGCCCAGGGCTCACTCGAGCGAGCAGTGAAGGCCTTCAGGCACTGACAGAGTGCACTTGGAAGCAGTGCTCATGTCCATCTTTTGATTTCTGGTCACACTACATGTCCTGTGTCCCATCAAATGCACAGGAAATGAGTATTCTGAGTTCATAGACTGTCAGGTCCAGACGAGACCACCTCCAATTTTATTCATTTTACAAAACAGGAAACGGATGTACCAGAAGGCCCGATAGGGCTCATGAGTTCAGAGCAGCTGAGAAGAGCTAGAATCAAGGTTTACTGAGCCATGATTTTTTTCCTCTTAGATTGTGTAGCCTTTTATATATTGGAATTAGGAGAAACCAATGTTGCTTCCAGCTGCTGCGGGAAGTAGGTGTGCAGAGGGGTGGTTCTGTCTCTCTCTCTGGGAGGCACACAGGATTTAGAAGAAAAAGGGGGACAGAACTGAACAAATGTGTGTGGGGGGATAGACATCAGAAGAGGGGGGGAAGGTACCCGTGGGCAGTGAAGACAGGAAGAATGCAAGGCTAGCAGAGACTCCTGTAGAACGGAATGGATGACGAAGGTGGAGGGAAGAAAGGAGCTGGAGCCATTCACGTATGTCAGAGAAAATGAGCCCCTGCCCTCATCGCCACAGCACCCGGCCCTGGTGTGCGGTGTTCGCCTGCTCCCACACAGGTTTCCCACCTGTGCACAATAGGCACCTTACAACAAGGAGTGTGATGTGTCCACTCTTACTTCCCAGACACGCAACCCAAGGCCTGGCTTACAGTGAGTACTCATCGCATATGTGTTGAATGCATGAATTCCAGACTGGATGAGAGGCAGAGTCAAACAGTCTAATAAAGAAAACACAATTACTATTTTTTATTTTTTGACAGGCAGAGTGGACAGTGAGAGAGAGAGAGAGACAGAGAGAAAGGTCTTCCTTTGCCGTTGGTTCACCCTCCAATGGCCGCCGCGGCCGGCGCGCTGCGGCCGGCGCACCGCGCTGATCCGATGGCAGGAGCCAGGAGCCAGGTGCTTGTCCTGGTCTCCCATGGGGTGCAGAGCCCAAGCACTTGGGCCATCCTCCACTGCACTCCCTGGCCACAGCAGAGGGCTGGCCTGGAAGAGGGGCAACCGGGACAGAATCCGGCGCCCCGACTGGGACTAGAACCCTGTGTGCTGGCGCCGCTAGGCAGAAGATTAGCCTAGTGAGCCACGGTGCTGACCAACACAATTATTATTGACACAAGCAAGTATCTTGGTAGGAAAATGTAACAGTTAGACCTAGGACGACCAAGAAAACTTGATGGGGTTTGAGTGTGCATGCCGAGGGAAGCTGAGAAATGAAGCTTAGCTCCTGGGTCTGTGGACTGAAGGGGGAAGAGGATAGGGTGACAAGAATTGGGTTTCTTAGCAAAAACCTGGCGTTCTGTTTTGGACACCAAGTTTGAGGTGAGTATTAGATATTTCAAGGAAGATTCTAAGTAGACAGCTGCATATGGCTGGTCTCCCTGGAACAAGAGGAGCTTCTAGAGGCTGTGGGGGTGGGAGTGGGAGTGCTGAATCCCTCCTCTCCCTGGACAGAAGCCTTCCAGCTGTCAAGTGGTAGAAGCGGAGCAATTTCCCCCCTAGAGCCTTGGCCTCTCTGGGCTGCAGCCTGGCAGCTTCTGAGCAGGACTCCCAGGAGTCACGGTTTCCCACTGCTCAGGGAGAGTACTCACAAGGTCATTATGGGGCAACAATGGGCACTTAGAACACTCCTCTGGGGACCCGCAGAACAAGAGAAGGAGGGCAGTCAGAACCCCTGCTCCGAGTAGCCGGCTCTGCTTGAGACAGAGAAGAACTCCTATTATACTACCTACGAAACTAGAGCGCCAGGCGGTTGTCATGCGTGCTTTCTGTCCTGTTTTCCAAGTTAGAAAGTTCAGTAGCTGATTAAAGGAGATGGTAATTATTGAGAAGAAAATTAGCAGCTTACGAGATTCAGTGGAAGAAGTATCTCAAACAGGGAGCAAAAAAAATAAAGAGCTGGAAATTGAGGAGAAATGAGCCATTTGGAGAACAGAACAAATGTATGGGGGCCACAACAACTCATCAAATAGCACATGCCTTTCCCATAAGCGCTGGTGCTTTGTATGTCCTGAGGATGATACGACTGCTGGCCGGGCAGAACCGACGCACTCCGCAGCCCCAGGTGGGGAAAGGTATTTGGGAGCAGAGGTGTAATGTTAACTGGGAAAATGAGCTGCAAGTACACAGAGTGTCAGGGCTGTGCGACAGGAAAGGGTCGCTTGGCTAGGATGTTTGGAGATTCCCTTGTAGGGGTGGGCACTGAGGCACAGCAGGCTAAGTGGCCACTTGGGTGCTGGTTCAAGTTCCAGCACCTTTGCTTCTGATCCAGTTTCCTGCTAATGCATTCTGGGAGGCAGTAGATGATGGCTTGGGTGCTTGGGCCCCTGCCAGTGACCTAGGAGAGACTCAGATGGAATTAGAACTCCTGGCTTTGAACTGGCCCAGCTCTGGCTGTTGCAGACTCTGGTAAGAGAACCAGCAGGAAGTCTGTCTCCTCTCTCTCTCTCTCTCTCTCTCTCTGCTCCCCCACCTCATAAATAAAAATAAATAGATACTTTAAACAGAAATTTCTCTGTGTTCTCTTCAGCAGAAGGACCTGGGTCTAGCACAGGTCAGCCTCCTGTTGTGCTTTTTCCTGTGCGGAGAGCAGGAGAGCAGACAGGGTGGGCAGATGAACAATATTCAGCATTTTCCAACCTGGCTTCATGACAAAGTCTGCAGAGCCTGCAAAATGTAGAGATCATCTGATTTATCACCCTCTTCCATCTTTCTGAACTCATGTTAAAGGAACACTAAGCATGTTAGCTAACACACACAGCATTCCAACACAGATATCATCATTAAGTACATAATCTCTTACATCCTTGCAATACTCCATGGAACAGGTAGAAGTACAAATCCACCTGCCAATTTTATGGATAGAATAATTGAGAATTGAGGCCCTTTTGTTGATGAAAGAAAATAAAAAAGTTGAGGGTCTCAATTCTGCCCCCTGATTGAATGTGTACCCTGACATAGTCTCCTTGTGGACAAAGTGTTGTTTCTCAGTCATTCACACTGGGTCTGTCTATGTAACTTCTCTGGACACTAGAGAGGAGTGGGAATGACAGGAAACCCATTCTGATGCCAGGTCTCCAGAGGCCTTGCATTTCCCCTGCATGTTCCACCTGTGCTATGGCCATGAGAGGCATTGCTGCCCCCTCAGCCTGGCTCCCAAGACCCCAGCACAGAGCTGCCACTGCTGTGTCACTGCACAGAGATTTTGTGAGTTTGTTTTTCTTCTGCAGAATTATTAAAGCAATGGCTAAATGCTGCTCTTGGAGACAATATCTTGCTGAATGCTTCAACTTCTTTGGCCAAAACCACCTGAAGTTCCTGTTAAGACACAAACTAGTAGGAGTCTGGGAGATCCTTGTCTCTTAGGTCCACAGAGGGGTAAGGGCATCTTTGTTAGGTTGTGCCTTGCAGTTTCATCGGCAGCTGCTTGCCTACTACACTCAGACTGGGAAGGGTTGTTATTTGTCTCCTGTGCACCTGTGGCTGGTGAATATGTGGTGCATTTTCAAGCCAGGGACTTTGGCTCTCAGAGGCCCAGTATTTCCCCCACAGTCCAGCTACAGCAGGTGAAGTATGAATGTGGCACAGGGGACGTGTGCTGTGTGTAGCGATTAGCATTGCAATCTGGCCCGAGGCTTTGTGCTGTGAATAGTGTAGTTCTAATCCAGCAAATCGTTCCAGGAGCTTGGTTAATGTTGTTCCCTGAGCTTCTTGCAGCTGCAGCTTCTTGAAGTGAGCCACCCCTCCCTGCACACAGGCACGCACGCACGCTCACATGCAAGACGGCACTTTTCTTTCTGCGGAGATCAAATTGGCCCCCTTGTGTGGCTCAAAGCAGCTGTTTACTTGTTGTTTCCGTGTTTTCAACTGTTGTGATGAGGTTTGCTTCCTTCTGCTTTAACTGAATTACGTGTCATTTAGCTCTTCAGTGCAAGCTGCAGATTGAGCTGGATCCTTCTTCACGTGGGCTTCAGATTCCTCCCGGTCTACAGTCCAATTAGATTAGTGGGCCATCAGCAGTGCAGAGGAGAAGGCCAGAGCCCCAGGTAGCCAGTGGCTGAGCCAGCCCTCTCATCTTGTCTCCCTGGGAGTGCTGCTCTGAACTGAGGACCAGACCAAATGTTTTTAGAACTTGCAATTTCTTTGGCCCCAACTTCCATCAGTGTTGACCCTAAAAGGGCCAAGAAGCTCATGTCTAGCAATGTTCCTTTTATTCCTGTCGCTGAGCCTTGCTGGTTAATCCTGGTCCCGTCTCCTGTAGCAGGAACATCCTGAGACCACCCACATGCTCCGGTGGGGCACAGAGGAGTCAATATTGCTGTGTGACCACCAGCTATTGCCTCCCTCCCTGAACTTCAGTCTGTTTAACCCCAGAATGAGGTGGTTGAGAAGAGGAGCCAGAGCTAAGATTCTTGCCGACTCTGAAGGCTTGCAGTTCCGTGTTGGCATCACTGTATGACAACCCTTGACCTGGTAGTAATGAGGCGTGGTATGGACTTGACAACATTCAGAGGGACCCGTGCACACCCTGGAGCTGAGTCCTTTCCCCTGGGTTTGACTTTCCAGCAAGTATGCCTGAGGATAACGGGGTCAGAACACAGTGTTACAGGAAACCAGTCAGGTCAACGGCAGAGGTCGTGGGAAGTGAGAGTTAGCTCCTGTGGGGCAGGTGGGGGTGTGTGGCACAGGGGAGCCCCTGAGAAGATCAGATGGCGCATAGCTGGTGCAGGAAGCTGTACAATAAAGCTTGTTATGTGGACGGAACATCCCTGGTACAAGGAACGGTTGGAGTACACGGTGGGGAGCACAACCCTAGCAAAGGCTGAGCAGGAAACACAGAGAGGCACTCACCCAGGAGGCTGAGGCAGGAGCTGCTGCTGAGCGCACAATGCCTGGGGCCCATAGGTACTCACCCATCCTGCACCCAACCCTCGCGTGAGGCAGGAGTAACATTAACTCTGCAGACCTTGCACACCCCAGGGCAAACACTCGGGGGGCAGGGGCCAGGCACCTTCCTTTTCCTGGGTGTCTTGTCACACTGGGAGTCCTGGCGGGCCAGGCAGGGCTGGATGCCCAGTCAGGAAGCTTGGCGCAGGTCTGCAGGGGCAGGCAACATCGGCCTCCTGCTCCCCTGCACCCAGCCCAGTGTCTGCTGGAGGCACGATTCACTCCTCCTGAGCCCCTCCCAAGGAAATCGCAGCTCCTCCCAGCAGGATTAACTGATGCTATTGATAATTATGCAAGATTATATACTTTCTCTTCCCAATTAAGCCTGTATGAAGATATAAACCCCAAACAGAATGCTGAACAAAGTGACGTGATTTCTGAGAAGCAGTGAGAGGTGGAGAGAAGGGCATCGGCAGCCAGGGAGGCAGGCTCAGGTGCCCTGGGTCCCGGCGGGTCTTACACAGAACTCAGGTGCTCAGTACAGCCTCTCATGGGGTCCTTCCATGGGCCAAACCATACTCCCGTGTCTAGCTGAGGGAGCAAGGACAAAAAAAGGCTTTCGATCCATGTTGTTGACCTCTCAGCTACATAACAACAAGCAGGCCCCCATTTCTCTGCCCTAATACAGCCCTGCTCTGCCTTGACCAGCCCTGCCCTGCCTCCATTGTTAGACACACCTCCATCTGAAGAGTCCAGCCATCCACCTGAGCTCTCCCTACTTCTCCCAAGCCCTCTCCCCATTAACTCAGCAGCTCAGCCTCAGAGTCCCGTCTCAGTCCAAACCTCTCCCAGCTCATACTGTGATCTCAAAGGACCTTTAGATCTAGCCCAAATCCTCCCTCTATCTCGGCAGCCCAGCTTTAGCTCAGACCCCCAAGCTCCTTCCCACCACTTTGTGCTGTATAACCCACCAGTCTGTAAGGGAAGGGGCTCTCTCTCTCTGCCATACGTTCACCTGGGAGTGAGCCCCTCTCTGGCTTATTCTTGGAATAAACCTGGTCTGGTTATGGCTTCTTGCTATGTCTCCTCTTTCCTTACTCTAGCTAACCAAGGAAGGACTCGGAGAAGATGAGAAAGAAATTTCTTCCCTGGGAAAAGCCCCTGGGGCATTGGGAAGGGGCTCCCAGGAGACTGTAGTCCTTGATGATGGTCCTGGTTGCACGTTTGTACAGGGCCCTGTACTGAGTCCTCGGGTCCACGCTGGCGCCTCAACCTGCAGAGCTCTGGCCACTTGGTCTGGGGTCAGCGTGTTACAACTGGACCCAGAGCACCAGGAAGTAAACTGGCCTCCCCCTCACCAATTCCATAAACAACGCCCTTTCTAGCAGTGTCTTACCAGGTAATGGACTTTCCACGACCCTGGCGATTTCTCACATTTGTATTCGTTCTGCTCACTTGGGAGTTTGCAGATTCTGGTTAAGAAGGCATGTCACTGTAAGTAAAGGGCTCTGAATCCAGAACTTTCCTGGCCCAAAGGGGACCTCTGACCCCCTTGGGGTGGCACATCAGGGTGAACTGGGCCCATGCTTCACTTGCCCACCCGCTAAGGGTCATCTTCAGGATGACCTGGGATCCTCCACATGGACATTTGCCAAATTCACATCTGCATGAGGTTGCTTTTAACTGATTGTCTCCTGGGAGCCAAGCACTGTCGGCACAAACAGGATTGAGGAACTTACGTCCTGTGGGGAAGAGGTTTTTTTTTTTAAAAAAAAGAGTTCACTGAAGTGATTTTTTTTTTTTTTTTTTTTTTTTTTGACAGGCAGAGTTCACCTTCCAATGGCCGCTGCGGCCGGCGCACTGCGCTGATCCGATGGCAGGAGCCAGGTACTTCTCCTGGTCTCCCATGGGGTGCAGGGAGGGCCCAAGCACTTGGGCCATCCTCCACTGCACTCCCTGGCCACAGCAGAGAGCTGGCCTGGAAGGGGGACAACCGGGACAGAATCCGGCGCCCCGACTGGGACTAGAACCCGGTGTGCCGGCGCTGCAAGGCGGAGGATTAGCCTAGTGAGCCACAGCGCCAGCCGGGGAAGAGGTTTTAAAGCATGTGGACCTGAGTCTGGAGGGAGGATGGGGGCTACCTGGGAGAGGGCCTAGATGAAGGCACCCCAGGCGCAGGGCGTGGCAGAGACCCAAGGGGTATCGTGTCTCCATTCAATTTTTCTCAGAGTCACAGAGTTCATCTGCAACCTCTGATTCTATTCTCCTGGAAAATAACGCTGCAGTGAAAGAAAACCACCCTACAAGAGCCCCTGCTTTGGCCCGGAGGCAGCTGCCCAGCTGTGCACAGCAAAGCCGAGCCAGGAAATCGCTCGTCTTCTGGCTGCTCAGTGATGGAGAACGCGCTGGGGGAAGGTTAGCCCAGGAACATCATCATTTGCATCAGCAGACAGCAGGCTGTCCTGCAGGCGAGTCAGCTCGCTGGATCCCTTCTAGTGGTGGGAATTGGGCCTAATCCCCGTGGAGGGGCCCAGGATGCTGCCACAGGGCAAGATCAGGTCACCACACAGCGAGCTCAGGCTCTTGGGTCTCTTCTCTGTTCTTTAAGCACAGGAGTCTTTTCAACACACTTCTTGGTTTTCACTATTCATGTCCACCTATCTCTTTCTTGCTGTGGTTGTTACTGTGCCCATATCACTGGTTTAAAAAAATGCTGAATCCAAGAAAGGATTGACTTTAAATTAATAGATGAGAGAGGGGCCGGCACTGTGGCCCATCAGGTTAAACCCCTTGCCTGCAGCTTCGGCATCCCAGATGGGTGCCGGTTAGAGTCCTGGCTGTTCCACTTCAGATCCAGATCCCTGCTAATGTGCCTGGGAAAGCAGGGGAGGATGGTCCAAGTCCTTGGGCCTCTGCACCCGCATGGGAGACCTAGAGGAAGGTCCAGGCTCCTGGCTTTGGATTGGCTCAGCTCTGGCTGTTGCAGCCATTTGGGGAGTGAACAAGCAGATGGAAGACCTCTCTGTCTCTCTGTAACTCTGTCTTTCAAATAAATAAAATAAATCTTTAAAAAATAGATGAGAGAGCTGGGATTTTAAATCGCTTTTAAAACTTTTAAAAAATAATTATTTTGGGGCCAGCACCATGGTGCAGTGGGTTAATCCTCTGCCTGCAGTGCCGGCATCCTATATGGGCACTGGTTCTAGTCCCGGCTGCTCCTCTTCCAATCCAGTTCTCTGCTGTGGCCTGGGAAAGCAGTAGAAGATGGCCCAAGTGCTTGGGCCCCTGCACCTACATGGGAGTCTGGGAAGAAGCTCCTGGCTCCTGGCTTCGGATCAGTGCAGCTCTGGCCATTGTGGCTATCTGGGGAGTGAACCAATGGAAGAAAGACTTCTCTCTCTGTCTCTTCCTCTCATTGTCTGTAACTCTACCTCTCAAATAAATAAATCTTTAAAAAAATAATTATTTTGAGAGTCAGAGAGAGACAGAGAGGAAGCAAGAGAGAGAGAGAGAGAGAGATCTCCTATCTGCTGGTTGATTTCACAAATACCTACAATAGGGCTGAATCAAGGAGCAGGACAGGAGCAGGAACTCAATCTAGGTCTGCCACGTGGATAGGAGGAGCCCAGTTACTTGAGACATCATTGCTGCTTCCCCCAGGGTTCGCATTTGCAGGAAGCTGGAATTAGTAGAGTCAGATATCAAGCCCAGATACTCTGATGTGGGATGCAGGCATCTTAACTGGAGCCCTAACCACTAGGCTAAATGGCTGTCCCTGGAATTGCTTTTTGACCACAGTTGTTCTTTGTGGTTTCTTTCTGCTTCTGGACTGGAGGACAGCAAAGGAAGAAACAACACTATTGATTACTTTCCATTTGTAGGCACTTTACTTGTGCTAATTCAATCAATAACACCCATTTTATAGGTAAAGAAACCAAGTCTCAGAGAAGTTAAAGAACATGCCCAAGGCTGCAAGGCTGGTGAGTGGTGAGCTGAGATGTGGCTCCAGGAGTTGTCTGAGTTTATCTTTCCTCTCCTATGATGTCTGCAGACACTTCTGGCCTTGGGTCAGGGCTGGGTTCCTTGTCTGTCGTAATCTGTGGGCTCAAGCACTGTGTAGCTTTCCTGATTCAGAACCGCTGGGCCTACCAGGAGAGTCAGCTACTGAGCTGTAACCACCAACACACTTGATGGGCCCTCGCAGAGTCTTGTCTGCTTCAGTTGAGAGTGTCTCATAAATAGAACTCACCTCCCCAGCAGCAAGGAAGCCCTTGGCAAACTGGCTCTTCCTGGGATCTGGGCATGGGCTCCCCCGGGGTCTCACCCTGCGGGCTGAGAGCCATGTCCACAACAGGGCCGTGGTTCTCCAGCCTTGACCCCATGGGAGGATCTGCAGACTCCGTCCCCGTGCCCTGCTTCGGCATTGGAGGAAGAACCCTAGGAATGGACTTCAGGTCCTACATGTATCTCATCCCCTGAAGTCTGAGACATTAGGTTTCAATGCAGAAGTTAAATCGTTATTTTGTGTAATTATGATTTAGGCCTAGGTGCCTTAATCTCCACTCCAGTTTTTTGCCTCCCACGGAGATAAGAATTAAAAATGGAGGTTTATATATGCACAAATGAGAACAGGATTTATTTAAAAACTTGAGAGGGAACAGATATTCATACTTGAGTGCAGGCCACCCCCCACAGGGAGATATCTGTCATGAGTAGGCCAGAGAGTAGCCTATGAAGAGAGAGGTAAGGCCCCGAGCTAGGTCCCAATGCACGGTTGGGGCAGAAGAGTGTCTCTTCCCCATTATCAGTCTCTTTTATGAGGTAGGGGTGGTGCCTGAATTGGATAACAAACTGGGTGAGATCTTAGCATGCATGTAGCTTTCTGGGATTTTTATGGCACTTCCAGGTGGAGCTTAACTTCCGTGTGGCCATCATAGCAGCTCCTTCCAGGTGTATCCAGGAAAGCTGGGCTCGTGAAGGGGTGAAGTTACTACACTACAGGGTTCACCTTAACTCCCTGCCTAATTACCCCTTATCAGTCAGAGTTAGGACCAGTGAATAAGATCTTCCAAAATGTGTATTCAGTAAGCAAATGTAAAGGACAACAGTTTGCAAGTCAACTTAGTAGTGACCCTGGCTCGCCACTATCTGGTCCAGATGTGACGACTGAGGGCCAGGGAGGGAGTGGCTGTGCAGGCTGAGGCAGGACGTGTGTTAATGGATGCCTCCTCCTTTTTAAATTTTTTTTCGTAATTATGCCATGATCTTGCTACTTTCTACATCCTGTTTCTCATCTTCATTTTGACCCAATTTACCAAATTAATTCAGATCAAAATGTTCATTTGGGCTGTAAATTGGCTGAATAATTGCTGTATGGATCTCCTTCCAGCAGCTGTGTCAGAGAGCCCTCGAAGCCAGCCTGGGATGGCTCTGCCACGTGCTCCCCCCTACAAAGCACAGCACACACAGGGAGAACCTCAGGACAGCGACAGGACAGCGAGAGAACTGGGGATCCTGAAGATGGCAGCTCCCCGCACAGAAGAGACTGGACAGACATTCCCAAGTGTATCTGAACAGGTACCTAAGTGAAAAGAGTTAAGAATGATGACAAAGGGGTGGCCTGTGGCCTGAAGGCTAAGCTGCCCACATTCCCTACCAGAGTGCCTGGGTTTGGCTCCTGGCTCTGCTCCGGAGCCCAGGTTCCTCCCAATGTCGCACTGAGAGGCAGCGAGGGAATAGGAGTGTGTGCTCCAGCACTGGGGTGCCTGCCACTCACACGGCAGACCTGGACTGAGGCGGAGCAGTGGGTGGGCCCCCTGTCTGTCTGTCTTGGTCTCTCTGTTTTTCTGTCTCTCAGATAATTAAAATGATGATAAGAGAACCATGACAGAGTAGCTGAATGAAGGGGGTGTGCCTTCACATATAATACAATGCATCATAATTCACTGCTAGCCAAGGCAACACAGCAGAAGAACAGAGATCTGAGACACAGGGTAACTCAAATTAAGACCCTAAATGTAAGCAGTATGGCAGGGGTGGTCACTGAATTCATACCATCGGGGGAAATGGCTTATTCTTTAGGGGAAAAGAGTTTATCATCTCACTTCACATCATAAAGCAAAAAGAATTTAAGTTAATTTAAGAAAACCAAGCAACATTAAAATCAGAAGAAAATTTGTCGGTGCTTGACTCGGGAAAGGGCATTGTAAACTTGAAAGTGATGGGAAAATAACAGCAGATTTGAGTATCCTTTAAAAACGTCAGTACATCAAAAGATTCTACAACAAAAAGGCAAACTGACAATCAGCAAAAACAAAGAATAAGTTATCTTGAGAAATCATACCTATGCTGATAGAAAAATAGTAAGACTCCAAGAGAAAATGGACACAAAGCATAAATAGAGGTACAGGCGCTGTGGCATGGCAGGTAAAGCTGCCGCCTGCAGTGCCAGCATCCCATATGGGCGCCGGTTCGAGTCCCGGCTGCTCCACTTCCAATTCAGCTCTCTGCAATGCCTGGGAGGGCAGTAGAAGATGGCCCAACTCGTTGGGTCCCTGCACCCATGTGGGAGACCCGGAGGAGGCTCCTGGCTCCTGGCTTTGGATTGGCACAGCTCTGGCTATTGCGGCCATTGGAGAGTGAACCAGCAGATGGAAGACCTCTCTCTCTCTCTCTCTCTGCCTCTCCTTCTCTCTCTGCATAACTCTGACTTTCAAATAAATAAATAAATCTTTAAAAAATACAAGGATCTCTTTTAAAAAATTTTAAATAGACAAATTGAAATGCCAGTAACTATGGAACATTGAAAATGGTAAATTTTCCCAGAAATCAACTAAAGGCAAATTAACAAAGCCAAGATGCTTTCGCCTTCCAAGTCATCAATGGTTTAGAAGTCACACTTTTAGTGTGCTTCAATGTCTTGCGACCAAACCAGTAGCTATTTTCCATAGTGATTGCTGGTGGCAAGATAAACTGGTACTGCCTTGAATTAAAACACTGTGGATAATGCATTAGGGATCTTTGTAATTCTCCTTTATGGTTGAGATTCATATGCAAGAATGTGTATTACAATATTGTTTTTAATGGCAATGCATTGGAAATACCCCAAGTGTTCATTCCTCTTTAAATCATTTATTCAGTAAAGAGCAAGACGTTTTACATTCTCAATACTTTGTTAGCTGTTGGGGACACATTGGTGGTTGGAAAGTTTAGTTTTTGCTTGTTATGGAACTTCCAGGTTAGTGGGGAAAGACTAGCAGTGAATGAGTTACCAAACAATTAAAATTGTCCAACAATTGCTGTTGAACAATGGTAATATAGTACAATATGTTCAGTTCTGGTATATCCTTACAATAAAATATGTGATTATGAAAAGGCAAAAGTTATGTCCATAAAATATGACATCCCTCTGACCATGTGACAAATAGTTATTGAATACTTAACACACATCAAGCACTATGGCACGTCGCAGAAAACACGACTTCAAAACAGACACAATTGCTGTGTTCATGACTGTCATGGGGGCAGGAAATTGTGACAGTCTTGATAAAGTCTATAGTAGACAAATAGGACCAAGGTGGTATTAAGACAAGTGTAGTTGACACGGTGGTCAAGAACATCTTCCCAGAGGAAACACTGGAAGAATGACAATAAGTGGGAAAGAGCCAGATAAAGAGACAAAAAGAAAATACAGAACTACAGGCAGGCATGGAACAATGCATATAATATAATCTCCAATGAAAGGATGGGGCCAGGTGTTTGGCCCAGTGGTTAAGACACTGGCTAAGACGTCATCTTATGTTAGAGGATCTGAGTTCAACCTCCTGCTCCACCGCTGACTCCAGCTTCCTGCTAAGGCAGACCCTGGGAAGCGGCAGTGATGGTTCAAGTGGCCAAGTGTTTGCTACTCACGTGGTGGATGTGGACTGACTTCTCAGCCCCTGGCTTCCCCCTCAGACCAGTCCCAGCCATTGTGCGCATTTGGGGAGTGAACCGGTAGATGGGAGCTCTCTCTGTGGATCCATCTCTCTGCCTTTCAAAAAATGAGGAAAAGGCAGAATGAGCAAGTGCACACACATCATGATGCTAACAAAAGCTGTGAAAACATGCCAGGGGGAAGGCACTGAGATCCTGACAGAGACTGGTCGGGATTGGATGTGATCTTCAGTCCCCACTCGACACCTCTCCACGGAGTGCGGCTGCAGGTGCTGTCACATGTGCTTCTTCCTCGTCCGTGCAGCTGATGCTGGGGCATTCTCTCCTTTTTTTTTTTTTTTTTTTTTTTTGACAGACAGAGTGGACAGTGAGAGACAGAGACAGAGAGAAAGATCTTCCTTTGCCTTTGGTTCACCCTCCAATGGCCGCCACGGCTGGCGTGCTGTGGCCAGCGCACAGCGCTGATCTGATGGCAGGAGCCAGGTGCTTATCCTGGTCTCCCATGGGGTGCAGGGCCCAAGCACTTGGGCCATCCTCCACTGCACTCCCTGGCCACAGCAGAGAGCTGGCCTGGAAGAGGGGCAACCGGGACAGAATCCGGCGCCCCGACTGGGACTAGAACCTGGTGTGCCGGCGCCGCAAGGCGGAGGATTAGCCTAGTGAGCCGCGGCGCCGGCCTGGGGCGTTCTCCTGACTGCTTCACTGGGCTATGGTAACCCAAAATGCAGGAAGTGGTCACTAGGCTGAAAAGGCTTCAAGAGGAACCACAGATCTCATCAGCAAAGTGCCCAGAGCAGTGAGGGAGGAGAAGGAAGTCCCTAACAGCAGAGAGAAACTGGAAAATGATATTTTCAGGATAAGCTGTATCCAGGAGACCTTGATGTTTCCACTTTGGGTTTTTCTTTCTTTTCTTCTCCTTCTTCTTCTCATTTATAGAAAAAGCTTTCTCTGAATAAAAAGCACAAGTGTGCCCACCTAGCGTGAGGTGCTGGAGGGCTGAGGAGAGAGGCAGCATTCCGAGCTGTGCAGGGGAGGGAGAGCCTCCCGGCTGGGCCTTGGGAATAGGGCCTTGTCCTCACCACCACTGAATTCCGCCCAGACATTGAACCACCAGAGCTCTCACACCTTCCACCTCCACGTGGGGAAAACGCTTCTTTCTTTGATCCGTGCTCTCAGACCTAACACTTTGGCTGCGCTTTCCAAGAACAAATGCCTAACTCTGTGTTCAGGGGTTTCAGGAGTCCTCGACTTTGCTCCCTGTTGTCCTTGTCCTCTGCCTGGGATTTCTTCCCCTCTTTACAGCGCTCAAGAAAAGTCCATTCATTTTGTAAGGTCTGTGTTGTCTTTGCTGATCCCCCTAATTCTAACAGGCGTTTTTGTCTAACTTGTCTGGCATTTACTGTCAGAAACACTCATTTGACATTTATCACATTCTGCCCTTTATTGCCAGTTATTTGTTACTGTGTTTGTGACTCTCCTTTCCAAAGTGATTACACTATTCTCTTTGCTAGAAGGTTATCTGGTCCCTTTTCAGCCTGTTAAACTCCTACAGAACACTCCCAGCCCCAGCTCACAACCACTCCCCACCCTGGGCATCTGCTGGGACTTTTTGTGAACCATAATTCACGTTTATCCACGAGAACGTATTCCTGATCAGGCTGGAGACCGTAGCTGTCTTGTCTTAGCCTCTCTCAAACTGCCTAGCTCAGGGCTAGGTGATAGGATTCGATGTTGAGTCAATGAATGAATGAATGAATGGAGATGAATGGAGGGCTTTTGAAGGATCTTTGGATGGTTGGCTGTGTCACGCATGCTTTTTCATATCACATGGAAAGTACTAGGCACATAGCAGATGCTAAATAAATCTGAATGGCTTCATGAGTTGAGATGTAGGTACTGATAACTGATAAAAACTGAAAGAACTGATGATTATCACCATCACTGCTCAATACGGCCATCCCTGGGAGAAGTCCGTCACAAAGAGGTGAGTGTTTGTTCCTTTTTCCTGTCCTCCTCGGGGAAGAGAACTTCCCTCTGGAGCCCTTCCCGCTCACAGAGGAAGAGCCCTGTGGTCAGCACACACCCAGCCAGGCTGAAACGCAGCCCTCATGTGCCTCTGGCAGAGAAGGACCCCTGACGGGGCTCAGCTGCTGTCCCGGGGCAAGGCGCTTCCATGAAGCGGCTGCCAGGATGCCCGACTTCCACGCTGACCATTGTCATGCATGGCCTAAGGCGGCAGGGACTGGCACCTGGTCCTCCCTCCATTTGGCCCACCTGAAAGACACCTCCAAATGTGGCCCAGGGAGACAGGACTAGAACAGTGATCAAAATACCTGAATGACTCAGGAGTGGGGGGTGGGGGTGGTACAGAACCCCTGCCACCTGAGACTGCCATTCACCCTCTGACTTGCCTGTTGCAGGGGTCCACACTCTGGCCTAGGATCAGCCCGGTGGTTCATCCGGACACCGTCTTCCGCAGGAAGCCTGCAGCTCCTCCCTCCCTTCCCCTGTGGAGAGGAACTCTCTGTGCTCCGTGGTGGTCCCAGTAAGCATCTTAGCAAAGAGAAAAGGAAAAACAAAACAAAACCTGCAAACTACAGCTCAGCAGAGCCAAGCTGTCTGACTGGCTGTATTTATCTTGACAATTTCTGTCCTTGTGGTTTTTTTTCTTCTCTGAGTAAAGCTGTTCTTTTGATCCCAGCCACGCTCAGAGAGAAGCATGGCACTGAGATAATTATTTTTTGAAGTTGCTGTGGCATCACAGCCAGAGACAGCCCCGCCTCACTGAGAGCGGGTCCTTCTGAGAGAGTCTGTTCCGCTGTGTGCCTGGACACGAGGCGGGGCCAGGAGGGCACCCTGGAGTGACCCAGACCCAGCCAGTCCCAGCTCTTGGGGAAGGCTTCACGTATGGCTCACGGTCAGGCTGCTCCAGCAGACGGCTTTGTTGGGTGGCTGAGCTACGAAAGATCCCCAGGTAGATCCAAGACGCAGAGAAGGGTCTGGGGCGGAGGGGCAAGGGGACAGAGCAAGTGACAGCGGTGAGAGGGGAGCTGCTGATCCCCGGGCAGGGTGCCAGGGGTGGGAACTGGCTTGGTCAACCACACAGCTCCTTCTCACACAGAGGGAGGTGGATGTATCGTGTCCATCTCTGGTCAGGGGAGGTTCCCGGCAGTCCAGGTGGACATGGATACCCTTTTCTTGGTGTCCGGCTGGTTCCAACCAGGCTATGGTAAGGGGAGTGGGACCTTCCTTAAGGTATTGGAGGACCCAGCCAGGTAACTTGGGCTTCCCCTGGTGGGTGATCCTGCCCAAGGGGCCGCTTGTGTCAAGGCCATCAATTCTTCCCCAGCACTGGAGGGTGCAGTACATCCCTGGGCTCAGGGAAGCATGGGCAGCACTGAGTGACACCTCCATCCCACTCTTTCTGAGCCACGGCTGTGATTCTGAGACAATAGGAAACAGGAAACCCTGCCTTAGGAATCAGGCCTGGGCTGGGCCCTGAGTTATTAGGCTGGATAAGGGTGCAGAGGCCCCAAGGCAGGGCAGACCCCTCACTACAATCCCTGGCTCTGTGGTCAGTGCACTTGAAGTGTGCTAGGTCAGGAGTCCAGTCTCAAAGTACCAGGGTGCAGAGTTGAAAGCCAGAGCCAGCTTCTCAAATCACTCAGAGATAAGAATGCCTCCTGATCTAATCTCTCTCTGAATTTTCCCTGAGGCTTTTGCTGCTCTTTGCTGTGGCACCAAAGCCGCATTAGCGAGCACCAAAGCTCCTTTATAAATGCTCTGTGACTTCAGAGGTCTGCTCACTGATGGGGCTTTCTGTTTGGGGGGATTGTCAGGGGAGGGGGCATCTCAGAGGCTTCTGGAGAAGTCTGGGCCTGATAGTATGTGTCCAATCTCTATGAGTCAATCAGCAGATTGCACAGCTCATGGTCTTGAACCAGGATGCAACAGAAAGATGCAGGTTTCTGGATGGATCGTCATGGTCTCAGCCTTGCAGTCCCCAGGGTCCTCACAGACCTGGAGGAATCTCGAGAGCCAACCCCATGGGCCCAGTGAAGGGGATGGTGTCCAGGCTCTTAGATGGAAGAGGGACCCCGACCACCCTCTCCTCTGTGGGGCAGGGGAGCTGAGAATCAGAGAGAGGGATCAGATCAACTATTACTTTCTGCCTACTGGAGAGGAGCAGTTCTTCGAAGCTGGTGTGTGTGTGTGTGTGTGTGGTGGGGCACGGGGCTGCGGGGAGGACTCTATATATTGAACTGCCGCTGGCAGCAGATAGCAATCCTTGGTTCACCTGCTCCTGCTCTGACAAATCCCCCTTGAGCCTTTGCTGCCTTTGTCTTGTCTGTATGTCCCCATGGGACGTTCACTCTTTCCAAAAATGTCAGGTTTCATTCTATAGCATGAAGCTTCATGCCCTACAGTGGACGAAGTGTGGCTCTTAGCCTCCAGCTGAAGTGAGAACACCAGCACTCCCTGCTCCCGGGCTGTGCAGATTCCCCTCCTGCCAGGCCCCTGGCCCAACCCTGGACTGGCCAATCATCCTTGCCCAGCATCCTTGAAGACAGCAGCCAGATTGATTGTCCCAAGGCTCTGCTTTGATGATACCACTTTTATAGGCTCATAAAAGAAGCATTTAGGCAGTCCGTCATGCTAAATCTTAACCATCTTTACAGGTTTTTTAGTGTAGCCCATCAAAATTGTCAGCAGCCCTGAAGGTCTCACCTTTCTGGCTATCCAAGATGGCACTTCCAGCGCAGGAGGCAGCAGGCACATGTGATGTAGGGCACAGAGCAGGGGAGGTCTCACCCACATCTGCCTGTATACAGCCACGGGCAGCTCTGTCCTACCACCAGGAGCAGGCTGGAGCCCACAGTTTTCTCCTGCTTACTGCAGACAATGGCACAAGTAATCCCAGCTCTGGGCACCAGCGGCCTCCTCTGCGTGACGCAGAAGAGAGCAGCAGTTAAAGACAGCAACTGCGAGGTGTTCACCCGCTGCCCGCTGCGTGCGAGGAGGCCTAGTTGTCCAAGGCAGCTGCTGGGATGGGTAGGGTGGACAGACTTCCACAGTCAGCGACAGTGGCTGCAGATGGTGAGCTCTGTCCTCCAGGTCTCTCTCAGGACTCTGGGCAGCAGCAGTGAGCACTGCTCCCAGTCAGCCCCTCCAGTCAGCCCCCCGATGCCCTACAGCTTGCTGCGCTGCTAATCTGTAGATTATGTGTATTCAAAGCATTTCGGTTTAGGGTATTACCTACTGGATTGAATCCCCATTGTATCCCAAGGATCATCCGTAGAAGGAAACAGGAACCAGGGCTGACAGTTTTGATTTGTGGAGTTAGGTTCTGTTTTCTGATGACATCCTGTTCACATTGCTAGGCACAGGCCTAGCTAAAAAGAAAGCACTTCTACAGAAATGGAAAGCAGGGGAGAAATAAATAGAAATAGAAATAAAAATAATTGGGGCTACCGCTCTGCCGTAGCAGGTAAAGCTGCTGCCTGCAGTGCTAGCATCCCATATGGTCACTGGTTGGAGACCCGGCTGCTCCACTTCCCATCCAGCTCTGTACTATGGCCTGGGAAAGCAGTAGAAGATGGCCCAAGTGCTTGGGCCCCTGCGCCTGCGTGGGAGACCTGGAGGAAGTTCCTGGCTCATGAACCAGCCGGTGGAAGACCTCTCTCTGCCTCTCTTTCTCTCTGTGTGTAACTCTGACCTTCAAATAAATAAATAAATCTTAAAAACAAAGAGAAATAAAAATAATTTTGTCTTCTTTGAGATCAAAACTCAGCTTCTCCAGTTATTGGCAGCGTGACCATCGCTAGTCACTTCAACCTGCCTGGGTCTCAGTTTTCGCGTTTGTAAAATGGGTATAGAATGGTATGTAGTACACGGGTTCATACGTGACTCAAGATATGAAAAGTGCTTAGATGGTGCTTGGCACACAGGGAGGACTCTGAAGGGTTAGTCACGAACCTCAAGGGTGGTAGCCCACTGGCGTTGGAGTGGGGTTGCAGTTACTGACAAAGACCAAAGCTTGGCCGGCGCCGCGGCTCACTAGGCTAATCCTCCGCCTGCGGCGCCGGCACACCGGGTTCTAGTCCTGGTTGGGGCGCTGAATTCTGTCCCGGTTGCCCCTCTTCCAGGCCAGCTCTCTGCTGTGGCCAGGGAGTGCAGTGGAGGATGGCCCAAGTACTTGGGCCCTGCACCCCATGGGAGACCAGGAGAAGCACCTGGCTCCTGCCTTTGGATCAGCGCGGTGCGCCGGCCGCAGCGCGCTGGCCGTGGCGGCCATTGGAGAGTGAACCAACGGCAAAAGAAGACCTTTCTCTCTGTCTCTCTCTCTCTCACTGTCCACTCTGCCTGTCAAAAACAAACAAACAAACAAGCAAAAAAAAAAAAAACAAACCAAAGCTCCCCCGTGGAGAAGATGAGTGACAAACAAATACAAAGGGGAAATCTGTGCTATCCTGGATGGTGACAAGTGCCTGATGACAAGTGCCTGCCGAGGCAGGGTGGGTGGGGAAGTCACTGACCTTTTTTTTTTTTTTAATGATTTATTTTTATTTAGTTGAAAGAGTTACACAGAGGGATAGAGACAGAGAGACAGAGAGAGATCTTCCATTCACTGGTTCACTCCTCAAATGGCTGCAATAGCCAGGGGCTGAGCTGATCTGAAATCAGGAGCCAAGGAGCTTCTTCCTGGTCTCCCATGTGGGGGCAGGGGCCCAAGAACTATGGCCATCTTCTGCTGCTTCCCCAGGCCATAGCAGAGAGCTAGATCAGAAGAGGAACAGCCGGGACTAGAACCGGCACCCATATGGGATGCTGGCACTTCAGGTCGGGACTTTAACCCGCTGTACCACAACACCAGCCCTGGCATTGACCTTTTAAGAGCAGAGGTCATGGAAGTTCTAAATGAGAAGGTGACATTTAGACAAAAAATTGGAGGAGAATGCTTTGAGAAAAGGGTTTTCTTGCAGAAGCCCTGGGGTGAACACAGGTGTGAGGGGTCATAAAGGTCCATACGGCTGCAGCTTGGTGTGCACTGGAGAGTGGTGGGTGTTGACAGCAAGGAAGTAATGGAGATGTAGGCCTTGTCAGGGCACTTGTTTTTCTTGGATATTAAAACACATGGCAGTTTTGTGGTTCTAGAAGCCGTATCATGGCAGGCAGAGTGGTGGCCCCTGGAAATGTCTAGGTTCTAGTCCCTGAGCCCCGAGAGTGCATGCTGAGGTGATCATGTTATGGGTTTTGATGTGGAGAGCTTTTCACGGCTTCTAGGGGAAGGGTCCTTGGAAGAGGGAGACAGATGGGACAAAGTCAGAGAGGGAGATGTGACGGTGGTAGCAGAGGTCAGAGAGTCACAGGGAGAAGGGATGTGTTGCGCTGCTGGACTTGAAAGCAGAGGGAAGAGACACCAGCTAAGCAACGTGGATACCTTCAGAAGCTGAGAAGGACATTCGCCTGGACTGTCCAGAGGGGAATCCAGCCATGCTAACCCATTTTGGACTTCAGATCTCCTGAACTGTAGGTGACAAATCTGTGCTGTTTCAAGACACTAGGTTTGTGATCTGTAGTAGGAACGGCAGGAAACTGACACAGATGTCAGGACTGATGGTCCTAATACAAGAGAGGTCCCTGAATGATTGGGTGGCTCTTCCCCTGGATAGAACAGAGCTAGGGATTGAGAAGCCCAGCCTCCTCTCACCATGTGGAAGTAGGTGATAGAAAGTGAGGCTTCCAGGAGAGCTGCCTTTTACAACCATGTGTTCTTGGGACAGACCCTGGACCAGGAACCCACCTAGGGCATCTGGAGAGAAGTACTTGTTACCACTCTGTAAGCAGAATGTATGTCCACAGTGGAAGATCCCACCTAGGGGACAGCACCATTTTTAAGGATTTTACCAAGACCAGTCATTTGAGGTTCTAACGTTCTCTGCACTGGCTCTGGCTGACAACAGAGAAGGGGAACAGGAGCCAGGCAGGTGTTGACTGTTGGAAGTCAGACACAGGACGGATGGGCCAGAGCTCTTGGAACAGGCTTGGTAGGCAGACAGCTTTTTTCCTGAGGAGCATAGGGTGAGGTGGTGTCCCCTCAGGTTTTCTCTGCCATTCTGAGCTCTGTCATCCTTATGAAGGCTCAGAGGAGAATCAGATTGGAGGCCCCAGGGCTGCAATGTTCAGCTAGGTCTGTTCAGCTTGAAGAATCTGTTCTCATCACCTCTTCCACATGATCTGGACTTAACCAGTCCAGTGGTCTCAATACTACCTCTAGTGGATTCTTCAATGTTGATTTCTTGCTCTTTTCCAACTCCCAACCTTGGCTTTCGTTCTCCAAATAGGTTTTCTTTCCTTTTTTAATATTCATTCACTCATTCATTCATTTGAGAGGCAGATGCAGAAAGGGAGAGAGAGAGAGAGAGAGAGAGAGAGAGAGGTCTTCCATCTGCTGGTTCACTTCCCAGATGGCTGCAATGGCCGGAGCTACACCAATCCGAAGCCAGGAGCCAGGAGCCAGGAGCCAGGAGCTTCTTCTGGGTCTCCCACGCTGGTGCAGGGGCCCAAGGATTGGGCCATCTTCTACTGCTTTCACAGGCCATAGCAAAGAGCTGGATTGGAAGTGGAGCAGCCAGGATTCAAACTGGCACCCATGAGGGATGCCAACACCACAAGCAGTGGCTTTACCAGCTATGCCACAGTGCCAGCCCCTCCAAGTAGGTTTCAAACCTTCCCTCATCCCAGAAGCTTTGAGACTGGTCATATGGGAATTACCA